CTACCTCAAAGGGATGTCATAGAATCCCTACAGTGCGGAAACAGGCCCTTTTGGCCCAACAAGTCCACACCAACCCTCAGAGAATCCCACCCAGACCCGTCCCCCTATAACCCACCTAATCTAAACATCCCTGAACACTACGGGCAATTTAGCATGGCCAATCCACTTAGCCTGCACATCTTTGGACTGTGGGAGGAAACTGGAGCACCCGGAGGAAACCCACACAGACAGTAACCTGAGGGTGGAATTGAACCTGGGTCCCTGGCGCTGTGAGTCAGCAGTGCTAACCACTGAGCCATCGTGCCGCTCCGAGGCAGGGGTCAGCTGGAATTTCAAGACTGAGGTTTGTTGAATAAAGGAGTGAGTCAGGATATCGGAATGACATTGAAACCACCTGACAATAACATGGGTAAGACAATGCCACTGTGGTAATGTCAGTGGATCTTGTCACCTGGAGCCCCAGACTAGTGTTGAAATCCCACCATGGCAAATGGTGAAATTTAAACTCAATAAACATTTGGAAGAAAAGATTAGTTTAATAGTCACCATGTAACCATTGACTGTTGTAAAGACCCATCTGGTTCATCAATACCCTTTAGGGAAGGAAATCTGCCACCATTACCTGGTTTGGTCTACATGTGACTCCAGACCCACAGCAATGTGGCTGACTCTGAACCGCCTTCTGAAATGTCCTCTAGCGACCCACTCAGATCAAGGGGCAATTAGGAATGGCAATAAATGCTGGCTCAGCCAGCAACGCTCACATCTTGTGAATGAGTGTCTGTAAGGCTGAGATAGATAGGTTCTTGATTAAAACACAAACAGAAATTGCTGGAGAAACTCAGCAGGTCTGGCAGCATCTACGGAGTGAAATCAGAGTTAATGTTTTGGGTCCAGTGAGCCTTCCTTACCTGAAAACTGAAACGCTAACTCTGCTTTCTCTCCACAGATGCTGCCAAACCTCCTGAGTTTCTCCCAGCAATTTCTGTTTTTGTTTCTGATCTCCAGCATCCACAGTTCTTTGTTTCATTATAGGTTCTTGATCAGTAGGGGGATCAAAGGTGATGGGGAGAATGCAGGAGGATTGGGTTGAGAAACATATCAGACACGATCGAATGGTGGAGAAGACTTGATGGGCTGAATGGCCTAACTCTGCTCCTGTATCTTATTGTCTTAAAGAAACACCTTATAATTGTTATTATTGCACATTTAATGCAGAATATTTGGGAAAATAGCCAATCTATTGGTCAGAGGAGGAGCATCCTAAAGGATTCCTGATACCAAGGAGGGCATAAGGGAGGGAATTCCAGAGTTCCAGGCTGAAAAGGTGGTGTCAAAATCCTGGTTTGTGCAAGAGGCTGGAATCAGGAAATGGTGGAACTAAGCAAAGAAACTCTCTCAGTCTGAGTTCCAGTGTTGAGAATAATTCTGCCTGTTTTTCAGAGCTGATGGACTGTGATGAGCTTCACACGGTGATCAGGCTTGTTCTGAAAGCTGGGAACTACATGAATGCAGTGAGTAGAACATTTCAAACACAACCAGCAGCAATATTCAGCAGGTCAGAAACTTCAGGTCATCAGAGATTGAGAATGAGACAGAATGGATTGCTGGAGAGAGCCATGCAGCGGGAGCTGAAGAGGAGAAAGGAATGTCCTGAGTATGTGTTGGGGGCAAATCCCATTGAGATTTTCAGAGGGTACAGAAGACTGTGAACAGGCAGAAACTCAGCCAGACAGGGAGCTGGCAGGCACAATGGCACTCAATTCATTCCTCACTTAGAGGGGCAGTACAGACAGAATGGGTAGAATGGCATCTAGTCTAATAGCGACCATATGACCATCGATAGTTATAAAAACCCAACTCGTTCAGTAATGTCCTTTGATATAGGAATCAATCTGAAATCCAATCAGCATCGGGGCAGAGACATGGAGTTAACCTTTGGGATGAAAGAACACCACATCAGAATTGTGTTAGTTACTCACAAATTACAAGTTAATCAAAGAACAAAAAATGGAATAGAACCCTCACTGGGGTACGGGGTCCCACACACATTGACTCTCACTGGGGTACAGTCCCACATACACACTGACTCTCACTGGGGTACAGTCCCACACACACTGACTCTCACAGGGGTACAGTCCCACACACACACTGACTCTCACTGGGATACAGTCCCACACACACTGACTCTCACTGGGGTACGGAGTCCCACACACACTGTGTTATGCAGCTGCTATTGGAGCTGGGTTGGTGTTGATAGTTGAATGGTTGAATTTGGGACTTTTGTCTCTTAGAGAGTTGGGTCTGCTCAGTGCTGATCGCTCATTCCCTCTCTCTCTCTCCCTCCCCCTCCCTCTCTCTCTGTCCCTCTGTTTCTCCCTCCCTGGCTCAGGGTTGTTACACTGGGAATGCTGTTGGTTTCCGAATGAGCTCATTACTGAAACTCGCTGAGACCAAGGCAAACCGCCCAGGAATGAACCTGATGCATTTTGTCACGATGGTGAGTGACTGGGGCCGGAGACCGGGGAGAATTTAGGAGGAGGTAGGGGGTTGGTGGGAGATGTACCCTCCTGGATTGGGACCCTGTGGAATCCCGGCTGGAATGGAAGCTGATTGCCTTTTTCCTGAATCTTTCACTAAATGATTTTGCAGGAAGCGGAGAAGAACGATAGGAAGTTGTTGGAATTCCCGAACAGGCTGCGGAATCTCGGGGCAGCATCCAGGTATCAGCCCGGGAGTCACTGTGAGATCTGGTCAGCCCTCCAATACTGACCCTACCCCCTCACCACAACCCCTCACCCTAATCTCTCACCTCCCCCCAACCCCATCACAAATCTGTCACCCTCACACCCTTTCCACACACCCCACAAACCCTGTGCACCAGTCCTTAACCACCCTGCCCTGTGCCAACCCCCCCTCAGTCTCTGATCTGGTGCCGACCTGTTCCCCCTCTCCACCCTGCCTTGAGGAACTCACTTCTATTTTCTCACCCCCATCCATTCTTCAGTGGGACCCATACAGTGGGGGGCCTGTTGCTGTGGTAACTGTGGGGAGAGTTTTGATAGGGGTAATAATGATTGCTGTCTTTTTTCCTCCTGGGAACAGGTTATTCAAACAGGAACTGGAGAGTGAGTTTGAGAAACTGAAACAGAAACTTCAGCTGGTGAAAGGAAACCTGGACAAACACCTGGAAATCCGTCAGCAAATGGAAACCTTCATCCAGGTTAATGAGAGATTAGCACATCCAGGTTAATGAGGGATTA